GGATGAGGTTTGATGAACGACAATCAGAACTGACAAGGACAACGGGGGAAGTCTAGATTTCAGGGAAAAAATGGAGAAGAAGATGTGAATGGAGTGAAGAAGTGGAGAGTGTTTTGCGTCTTAGGGTAAATTTAGTTTGGGGCTTCTGTATAATTGGGTTTTCCCTTTTTTTACTTTTTTCTAATTTGAAATATTCAAACAATTTCTGGGCAAAATTGGTTACCTGATCGGAGATCCGACACAAAAACGTTGTCGTTGACACCAGTTGGTTGCTCACCTCGGTAGAGAAGATTTTTGCCTGTGAATGAGCGCGAATAAGTTATTAGGGTATTAGCTGGGAAATTTTGGGTTTGCGGTATTAAGTGTATTTTCTCGGTAAATATTTGGGTATATGTAAAACATATGTTTGGTCCCTACATGAATGAAAAGTGACAAGGTAAACCCTAAATAATATCATTTGACCCCTAAACAAAAAAAATGAGACAAAATCAACCTCATTTCATGTTGGCGGGAATAATATTTTGTTTTCCAGTAAATAATTGGGTTTATGGTAACACTTATAAAATGTTATCGTATCTTTATTATATGGTAACATTATTAAAAAGCTGCTGTATTATTAGGTATATTATAACACTTTAAAATTGCTACTATAAATATATATTAGTAACATTTAAAAAAAAGAGTTACTATTGATGTAAAATGTGCTATAAAAAGTTAAAGTGTTACAAATAAAAATTGTTTTCGCAACATTTTAACAAGTGTTACTATAGATAGTCTACCGTAACACTTTAAGAAAAAGTGTTACTATCCAGTGTTACCGTAAGTCATTTTTGTTATAGTGATTGTATTAAACGTCACCACATCAGGTTGCAAACCTCTTTGACTCATCAATTCCAGCAACCTATAAGCTTCCTCCATCTTCCCCTCCCTGCAAAGCCCATTTATCATTATATTAAATGTGACCACATTAGGCTGCAAACCTCTTTGAATCATCAATTCCATCAACCCATTAGCTTCCTCTACCTTCCCTGTCTGACACAACCAGTTAATCAAAGTAAAATACGTAATTACATTAGGCATAACCCCAAACACAACCATTTTCTTGTACAACCTCGTAGCCTTCGAACTCCTATTCTCCAAACACAATCCTTTAATCAAAGAAGTCAAAGTCACAACATTTGGGCCAAAACCCAACCTCAAAATCCTCCCAAAAACAACAAAACCATCACATACTCTACCCACATTACAAAAACAATTAATTAAAATATTCAAAGTAATAAAATCCGGCAACAACCCAATTGAACCCACTCTCTTGTACAGCAAAATAACGTCTTTATAAAACTTTTTTCTTAGCAAGGGCTCCAAACAACTAGTTGAATGAAGAAATCGGTGGTTTAGGTTGCATATGAGTCATTAAACAAAAGAAATAGTGCGCTTCATTAAGAGTGATATTACCTTTTTTACAATCTTTTTGAAGGAATTTATCAAGCCTCGCTACCTTTTCAACGTTATGTACTAAATCTTTTGGTATAGTTATAGTCACTTTACATGAATTTGTCAATAAAGATGAGATTTTGGTTTTAGTAACCGTTTCACAAGAAGAATAAAAACGACGAAGAAAGGTTATGGAGGCCATTTGAGTGGCGGCGTTTATGGATTATCTAGGGTTCAAACTGGCTTAGTCTTTTGTGGGTTTACATTTAAATAATACAATCTCACCAGAAATGAGAGTGCGATAAAATGGACACCTTTTGTTTTCCCAGTTACGATTGGTACTTCACATTTGTTCAAGGATTTGTCTATATCGTTCTCATTTATCTTCAAGGTTTCACCACTAAACAGATGATGAATCCATGGAAGACTTATGTGAAGCTCTCTCCAATCTTAATGGGTTCTCATGGACTTACTAAAGAGTCTTTGGCTTTCTTAACTATCCAGCACAACTCACATTCAAATCCACAAATGTAAATAGTTAACTCCATTACTTTTTTTAATTTCATGTTGAAAAAAATAACGATTTTCCTTACTAGACATTTTGATAACTTCAGTTTTTGTTTGATAGTCAAATTGGGTCTCTTAACCTATAATGGTGTAAATGAGTCAAATTCGCTCATTGACTCTTGCAATGTGAATCAAGTAAACGGGATCAATTTGGCTATAATTGGAAATTTATTTTTTCGTCTTAGATTTTCCCTGCAATGGTCATGGGCACATTCATACTGGGCCTCAGACAAAAATACTCGATTCATGAATATGTATCTGCAATACTTTTAGTATAGGGTTGATTCTATTTACCTTAGCAGATGAACAAACTTCACCAAATTTTAGTATGATTGGTGTTATAATGGTATTGGGTGCTCTAATCATGGATTTGTTTCTTGGTAATTTGCAAGAAGCAATCTTTACCATGAATCTTGAAACCACATAGGTGACTATCCTGTGCTATGCTTTTGTGTTGTTTCTTAAATTGAAAACTTGTGACTTTATCTGGATATCATCTTACTCTGTGACTTCTGTTAGTTTCAATCTTAATTGTTCTATTTCATGTATTTATTGTTCAATTGGTGACTGTAAAGAAGAGATCTACTGTTTTTACAGCTATAGAGAACTGGATTTCTCAAATTTCCAGCTTTCGTGGTTTTAAATTTCAGAATTAGATTAATTTAAGCTAGAAAGGCCCGACTTTTAGTCCACAGACTCATCAAATTCAGTTCCAAGTCTTGCAAATATCATAGGTTAGGAGTGTTAAAATCCCAATAACTTGAATTTGATCTTTAAAGTTACTGGATCATTGGAAGCTAATAATGTGTTTGGTGTGCACATATATTGTTGGAGTGTACTGAATAATTTAAGTATGAGATTTTGTGAAATTTGGTTGTTGAAAGATGACAATTGCAAATAACTTACCGAAAGAGAAGAAATCCAAAAGCAGCTAACAAAGTTTTATTGTAAAACAAATTTTGTTGGGATGGTGTATAAACTTTACAAAAATTAAGATTAATATTGGTATTACATAGCACTAGAGAGAATAGTATAACAATGTTGTATTTACTTTGATTGAAATCAAGAATTAGTGTATTTCCATGGCACATTTTCCTTGGTCTCTACACATATGGGTTGGCTGTGGCGACTGCAGAAACATGTCTTCTAGAGAAACTGACATTTTTACAAAAGAGAAGTGTATCTAAACGATGTCCAAAATCCTTGGTTGTTAATAGTTTAGGATTGGGGTTAGCCTTGCTCAATGATATTATAATATTCGTGGCTATTTCACCCGAGTACCATGTTCACCAACCTAAACTCAAGTACTCAAATTCCAGGGCTTCTCTTCTTAATAAAATAAGGGAAAATGATAGATCGAGATAATAATATTGAATTGTAGAAGTTAGATTGATTTACATATGTTTTCTGTGCTAAAGTAGGAAAGTTGTTCCTTTGTTTCTGGATAGTTAAGTTGATAGATATATAGCTTAAAATTTTTGGTACTAGTAATTTTACTACAAAGAGTTAAACGATTTTATGGTGCAATTCAATATGAGAAGACTTGGCCAGAAACTTCAATTTATTATTATTATTTTCAGAAAGAAACAGATAAAGAAAGAAGGTCAAGAACAAGGAGTTTGTTTTATGTGTTAAATGGGTGGAGATACAACTACTAGAACCTGTCCAATATCTTTACACCAACATTAAATATATATTTAAATTTAATACTCATTATTTGGTATATAATATTTTTATTATTTATTTCTTTAATTATCAATTCAATATAAAATTAACTTCAATACAAATAATTTAATGCCAGACAAACAATTAATAATAATGTAAAAAAATTCTATAAACATACCTGCGCAACGCGTAGACTTTCTATCTAGTTTTTTAATAAATCATAGCCACCCGTCCCTATCAAATCAATCCAGCTTTCCCTCTCTTCCACCATTGCATCAAATAAACTACCAAGTACCAACAACAGAAACCTCCCACTTTGTTACTTTTTTCTAATTTTAAAAAAAATTATTTTTCATAGAATTCATCGCTACTCAGTGTCCTTTCATATAAAATTCATTCATTTTTTTTCCCTTCTGTTTGTAAAGTCTCAATGGATCCTCCTCTCAGCCCTAGCACATTCTCTAACAGCTTAAAGGTACATTTTTCTTCTCTTTTCTTTTTAGGTTTCTTTTGCTGCATTAACATAAGCTCACTTGTGTGTGACTTGATCTAGTTGTTTAAGTAAAACTCAGTGGCTCTCATGATGGGTGAAATGTTTAGAATGGACTCTAAAAAATTTGTACTCTTGGTGTATTTTATGGTAGTTTTTAAACTTTACGGGTTTTATTGATTTTTGGATAACAACAGAGTGTTTATTTATTTACCTTTTGGATTAAAATCATATGACTATGGTATAACTAGTTTGCTTCTTTCTACAGCATAAACCCACTTGTGTGTGTTGAACCTCTTATTTAACTAAATTTCGTGGCTTTGGTGGTAGCTGAATGAAATGTGAAATATTTGTACTTTTTGGGGTGGTTTGTGTTAGTTTTTAACTTTTAAGGGTTTTATTGGAATTTGAGATAATTATGAGGGGGTCTTTTTTTTTTTTTTTTTTTTGTTGAGTCTTTTTTATTTCAATCATATGATTTAATGGTAGTTATGGATCATATGATTTAACGGTAGACAAATTAAGCTGAATCTGGTTTTGTATTTGAGCATATGTCAATCTGAAATGTTTGATAATCAACTTTGCCAGTATTGTATCTTGTGATCTTTTTTGGCAAATTTCTTTCATTTGAATATGTAATGCTCAAATCCTACATATGTCATGTGCCGCTCAATTGTTTTTGTTTCATTTGGTCCAGTTGGTCTGTTAGTAGACTTAAATACTAATGTTAGAACTGACATGCATAATTGTAGTTAAAAATACCATTATGTGAATTTGATGGTTCTGAATGCAAATACAAAACAACCCTTAGACACCTTTTTCTTCATTTATAATGGTCTATCGTCCTCTCACAAACCAATAGAAAACACAAAATCATTTTTCTAAACCCTGCATAAACATTACACTCTTCCTATAATTTGTTTCTAAATTATACTCACTTCAGCGTAAAACAATTCTTCTCCTCAAGATATATCTCCTAGTCTCTTCATGACGACCACCATTTCATCAACTAAAACACCCTGCTTAGATGCTTCACACCGGAAATCGTATAAACAAAGCTTCAGTGAAATTGAGATCAAATCCTTAGAAATCAACTCTTGGAACAGTAATTAGTTCTAGTGTTGCATTTTTCGTTTGATTGATGGATATTCTTGATAAACCTCTTTGACTCATCAATTCCAACAACTCGTTAGCTTCCTCCATCTTCCCCACCTCGCAAAGCCCACTTATCATTGTAGAAAACGCCACCACATCAAGCTGCAAACCTCTTTGATTCATCAATTCAAACAACCAATTAGCTTCCTCCGTCTTCCCTTCCTTGCAAAGCCCATTTATCAATGTAGTAAATGTCACCACATCAGGCTGCAAACCTCTCTGACTCATCAATTCAAACAACCCATTAGCTTCCTCAATCTTCCCCTCCTTGCAAAGACCATTTATCATAGTATTAAACGTCACCACATCAGGCTGCAAACCTCTTCAAATCATCAATTTCATCATCCCATTAGCTTCCTCCATCTCCCCGTCCTTGCAAAACGCATTTATCATTGAATTAAAAGTCACCACATTAGGCTGCAAGCCTCTCTAACTCATTAATTCCAACAACTCATTAGCTTTCTCTGTCTTCCCCTTCTTGCAAAGCCCATTTATCATTGTATTAAACGTTAACACATTAGGCTACAAACCTCTTTGACTCACCAATTCCAACAACCTATTAGCTTCCTCCATCTTCCCCTCCTTGCAAAGCACGTCTATCATTGTATTAAAAGTCACCACATTAGGCTGCAAACCTCTTTGACTCATCAATTCCATCAACCTATTAGCTTCCTCCATCTTCCCCACCTTGCAAAGCCTACTTATCATTGTAGTAAATGTCACCACATCAGGCTGCAAACCTCTTTTACTCATCAATTCCAAAAACCCATTAGCTTCCTCCGTCTTCCCCACCTTGCACAGCCCACTTATCATTACAGTAAATGTCACCACATCAGGCTGCAAACCTCTTTTACTCATCAATTCCAAAAACCCATTAGCTTCCTCTATCTTCCTCATCTTGCACGACCCTATTATCATTGTATTAAAAGTCACCACATTAGGCTGCAAACCTCTTTGACTCATCAATTCCAGTAACCTATTAGCTTCCTCCATCTTCCCTTCCTTCCAAAGCCCATTTATCAATGTATTAAAAGTCACCAAATTAGGCTGCAAACCTCTCTGACTCATCAATTCGAACAACTCATTAGCCTCCATACCCCTATTCTCCAAACACAAACCTTTAATCAAAGAAGTCAAAGTCACAACATTTGGGCTAAAACCCCACTTCAAAATCCTCCCGAAAACAACAAAACCATCACAAACTCGACCCACGTTACAAAAACAATTAATCAAAACATTTAATGTAAAAAGATCTGGCATCAACCCCATTGAATCCGCTCGCTTGTAAAGCAAAATAACGTCTTCATAAAACTTCTTCTTAGCAAGAGCTCCAAACAATCCGTTGAATGATGAAATCAGTGGTTTGGGTTGCATATGAATCATTAAACAAAAGAAATAGCGTGCTTCATCAAGAGTGATATTACCTTGTTTACAATCCTTTTGAATGAATTTATCAAGCCTCGCTACCTCTTCAATGTTATGTACTGAATCTGGTGGTATAGTTGTAGTCACTTTACATGAATTTGTGAACAAAGATGAGGTTTTGGTTTCAGAAGAAGAAGAACAACGACTAAGAGAGGTTTTGAATGCCATTTGAGTAGTGGCGTTTGTGGATTTTCTAGGGTTCAAACTGGCTAAGTCTTTTGTGGTTTAAATAACACAATCTCACAGGAAATGAGTGTGGGATGAAATGTATTTATGTGAAACCTGTAGGGTACATATGTCATTATCCAGACACCGGTGGTCTGTTAAAAGAAGCAAAATTATAATAAAATCTGAGCCTTTCAGTCCCTCTCTCATTTCTCTCTTTAATGTAATGAGAACACTTTTCCATTTCTTTATGTTATCTGCTCATGTCTCAATCGATGACTTGATCCAGTTGTTTTAAGTAAAATCACTGGCTCTGGTGGTGCGTGAAATAATTGTACTCTAGGTGCATTTTGTGTTAGTTTTAAACTTTAGGGGATTTATTGATTTTTGGATAACTAAAGAGTGTTTATGTATTTACCTATCCATAAGATCATATGATTGTGATATAACTAATTTGCTTCTTTCTACAGCATAAACCCACTTGTGTATTTTGAGAAGAGTGTGAGAGTTTTTTTATCCATGGATAGTTATTTGCGGAGACTTATGGATTTGATGGTTAAAGTAAACCCCATCAGTTTCAGAAACAAGAGAAACTACTCTTATGATACGTTTGTACTTTCAACTTTTGAGGGTGGATTTTGTTGTATTCAAAACTTTGGGATTATTTATTTTCTGAAATTATTTAGAGGGTGTATTGTACTTGACATGGATAGCTATTTCTGCAGCCCTTTGGATAGATCATATGATTATGATATGATGTTCTTTTTTCTTTTTTTAATGTTGCAGACGAGGCATCAAATTTTGATCATGTAATTTTGCAATGGAATATGCAGCTCCTTGAATTGACATACCTTGCATTACTGGCAACTGCGTGTTCGAACTAGTTTATAAACCTTGCATTACCAGCAACTGAGTTTTGAGCGAAGGATGTTCATGTAAAGCTTAAAAGCAAATCCATAAGGTTTAGGAACTCTTAACTGTGATTAACAAAGCACAAAGTAACTGTGATTAATCTTATATATGATCAAACTGTTCATCTTGGTAATCCTTCAAAAAAAAAAAAACAAACCAAAAACAGAAAATATTGTAGGTATTAATTTTCCACAAAATTGATTTCAGTTTAGCTTCTGATTCTAAGAGAGCCTTGACTATTGAATCCATTGCCAGTCCCGTGTTTCTATCTTCCACCACACTAGACTGGTTCATGTAAAAGAGTTTCCAAAATGTTTCTTCTCCTCAGAATATATCTCCTAGTCTCTTCACGGCAACCGCTCTTTCATCAACTAAAACAACCTGCTCAGATGCTTCTTCCACACCAAACATGCCAATTTCAACCAAAACTTTACAGCCTGGTTCAAGTAAAAGGTTTTCTAAATTGTACTCAGTACTCACTTCAGCCTAAAAAGCTTATTCTCTTCAATATATATCTCTTAGCCTCTGCCCTTTCATCAACTAAAACACCATGCTTAGATGCTTCACTTCAGTGAAATTGAGATCAAATATTTAGAAATCAACTCTCGGAACAGTAATTAGTAATTAGTTCTAGTGTTGCTTTCTTTTGATTTATGGATATGCTTGATAACCCTTGGTCAATGTTAAACTTATCAAAACACATTTACCTTTGGTTGGATCAAGAAAAATTCAATGCCTTGAGATCATTGGCACGTCATTATCAAATTATCCTACCATACTGCTTCAGATATCTTCATTGGAGAATCCTATAAATTTTATGGCGTCAGAAATCTTAAACAGGCTCCAAACGCTTGGAACATAGATCAGCAATCGACTTTGAAAAATAGGAAAAGGATTAAAATGATAGAAGCTCTAGAATTATATAAAAAATTCCACCATATTCCAAGATACTGAAAGTCATATAAGAAAGAAGAATTCTCCTGATGTAAAACAAGACAGACGCAAAGCCCATTTATCATTGTTGTAAATGTCACCACATTAGGCTGCAAACCTCTTTGAATCATCCATTCCAAAAACTCATTAGATTTCTCCATCTTCCCCTCCTTGCAAAGCCCACTTATCATTGTAGTGCACGTCACCACTTCAGGCTGCAAACCTCCTTGACTCATCAACTCCAACAACCCATTAGCTTCCTCTATCTTCCCCTTCTTGCAAAGCCCATTTATCATTATAGTAAAAGTCACCACATCAGGCTGCCAACCTCTTTGACTCATCAATTCCAACAATCTATTAGCTTTATCCGTCTTCCCCTCCTTGCAAAGCCCATTTATCATTGTATTAAAAGTCACTAGATTAGCCTGCAAACCTCTTTGAGTCATCAATTCCAACAACCCATTAGCTTCCTCGATATTCCCCTCCTTGCAATGCCCATTTATCATTGAATTAAAACTCACCACATCAAGCTGCAAACCTCTTTGAATCATCAATTCCATCAACCCATTAGCTGCCTCCATCTTCCCCTCCTTGCAAAACCCACTTATCATTGTATTATACGTCAGTAAATTGGGCTGCGAACCTTGATCCACCATCTCATTAAACAATCTCTCAGCCTCCTCCAAATTTCCCACAAAACACCAACCGTAAATTAGAGAGGTACAAACAACCACATTTGGCTTGATTCCTCTACTCTTCCTTTCCAAAAAAAATTCTTTAGCCATATCTACCAACCCATCTTTGCAAAGACCATTGATAATACTACCATAAGAGACAATATCTGGCCGACCCCAAACACATCCATTTTCTTGAACAACTCTGTAGCCTCTAAACTCCTATTCTCCAAACACAAACTTTAATCAAAGAATTAAAAGTTACAGCATCTGGGTTAAAACCCCACCTCAAAATCCTCCAAAAAAACAACAAAACCATCACAAACTCGACCCACTTACAAAAACAATTAATCAAAATATTCAAAGTAATTAAATATGGCAACAACCCAATTGAACCCAGTCGTTTGTAAAGTAAAATAACATCTTTATAAAACTTCTTCTTAGCAAGAGCTCCAAACAATTGGTTGAATGATGAAATCAGTGGTTTGGGTTGCATATGAGTCATTAAACAAAAGAAATAGCATGCTTCACCAAGGCTGATATTACCTTGTTTACAGTCTTTTAGAAGGAATATATCGAGCCTCACTACATCTTCAACGTTATATACTGAATTTTGTGGTATAGTTGTAGTCACTTTACATGAATTTTTGAATAAAGATGAGATTTTGGTTTCAGAAGAAGAAGAAAAACGACTAAGAAAGGTTTTGGAGGCCATTTGAGTAGCGGCGTTTCTGGATTACCTAGGGTTCCAACAGGCTATCTTTTGTGGTTAAATAATACAATCTCACAGGAAATAAGTGTGGGATGAAATGTATTTATTTGAAACCTATAGGGTTTACATGTAATTATCCAGACACCGAGGGCATGTTAAATGAAGCAAAATTATTGAGCCTGTCACTCCCTCTCTCATTCTCCCTTTAATGTAAAGACACGTATTCGTCTTTACACTTCATCTTATTTTTAATCCATATTTGCTATATTATATTACAACATTGCCATTTTTTCTCTTTTCTTTACGTCATTTGCTCATTTTCAACCAATCAACATACAGTATTGTATATTTCGTTCCTTTGGTTGTACAAACTGTCAATTAAGAAAAAAGTTAAATAAAATTTTATTGATGATTCTATGTATAATCAATTATGAATAAGTTTTTGTTTTTGTTTTTTTGTTTTTTATTGGTTGATTATATGTACAACTGAAATAACAAAGTTTTTCTTGTTCTCCTAGTTTATTGGTATATATCTATGACACGCTCTGATTCATAAAGTTGTAAACTAACACCCGATGTTCGACGTGAAATCTTTTGATTAGTCAATTGTTTATACAACCATTACAAGGAACCTTTACCTTTCTTTTAATAGCAACGTTAGGTCCACAATCCAATCTTACAACTTTCTCTCACAACCTTCTACTTGATAGCTCATAATTATTAATCTCGCAAATGGAAAAATAAGACCTATAACAAGCAGGTGAAACCTATTTGCGAGCTCATAAATTGCAAGCTGTCAAGGGTTGTGAGATTAGGTTGTATACCTCTTATTTTAAAGGTTTGCAGGTACATATCCATGATCTACTATGATTCATAAAGCCATAGATCTAGTTGCTTCCGAAAGTTTTTTCTTTAATCACTTGGATGTCGAATTTGTCAAATATTAATTTTATACCCTTATTTCTAACACCAAATTTTTAAGGTATAACAAAAGAGTGGGGTTATTTGTAACTAAATTTACATTTTACACACTTATTTTGTTTTAAGTTTATACACATAATATTTAAAATTATGCATATTTGTCCATTATTAACATGCTTGCATAGGTACGGTGTAGAGAACCCTGAATGCTGAAACAATGTTTTTTAATCAATTTTCAACAAAGTTTATGATTTTTATTATATATCCCATCAATTTATCCCCAACAAGTCATGCCAAAACCCGAAATTTGCTCAAAAACGGACAAACCATGTAATACCTGACAACATAAAATCAAGCCATGTGATATGAATTGTGATCCATGACAAGTACTGTAAAGAGACAACTGGCACATAAATTTATTTATTTATTTATTTATTTTGGTGATCGGAGTGTCCAGGCTATCTTGCGTGCACCTCAACTAATCACTCGGTGCCCTGAAGTTGACAATTGGGTAATCCCTTCAGTGGTCACCCTTATTAGCAACACATAAATTACCATCTTATTAGGCTGACAGTTTTGCCTCTTGAGTTTGAGTCCCGAAGGTTGTTAATACTGGTGGCTACTAGAACTCTTATGCGGCCGATAATTTTCAAAATCCCTAAAAAATAGTTGAGATGTGCACAAATCGTCTGAACGCTCCAATCATTAGAAAAAAAAAAATCTATATTGATATGGATCTAAATTCCAAACCCGCAAATGACATGTTCATCCCCACATTAATGAGATTAATTTATAATTTACTAATGACCATTTATTTTCTCGAAGATCACAATAAAATAATAATTCCCATTGAATAAAATTTAATTATCAATTTCTACAATATATATATTTATATAATCCCAAAGCCCACCCTCTCTATTAATCACCATTTGGACTCCATGTAGGATGCCACATAGGATCTTAAGAGCTCTATTAATATATGATTTCCATGTAGGAAGATTCATGTTGGTCCCTTCACATTTACCTAAATATTAATAACAATTAAATAGTGGCATTCCAAAGGTCTCAATAAAACTTTGTTTATATGTAAATTGCTATTAATTAGTATTTATAACACATATTGAGCATCTAAAGGTCTAACTAAAAAATATATAGATTCATGTTAGTCTCTTCACATTCACCTAAATATTAATAACAATTAAGTAGTGACATCCCAGAGGTCTCAAGAAAACTTTGTTTATATGTAAATTTTTTTTTAGTAATAATAGCACACAGTAGTCCCTTCACATTCACCTTGTGCCGAAATAATGCCAAGAAGTTGTTTTTTTTTTTTTTTTATGGTTGTGTTTGGTTTTTTTGTATAATGATTTGTATGGTCCTAATGGGTTTATTTTTAGTTTCTGCCATTGATTTCACATTTGGTCCTTGATGGATTGTCTTTAATTTTTGTAAAGGCATAGATTTATCACTTTTAAGACCACTGGCGGGGACTTGGTACCCTTATTGGGTCAGTTATAATATAAAGATGGTAGCTTTATTCAACGAGGCATTGTCTTTATGATTTGTTAAGTTATGTGTGATTGTTTTATTTGTAGGTACTAGAACCTAGGAGAGGTTAGTGAAGAAGGATGGATCAATTGAGCTGGACAAACTTTTTGGGCAAGGATCGCTGTAGAGTGTGTAAAGATGAGAAAGTTGTTCAAGAGAAGAAGGCATTCGAATTAGTAGTTGAGAAGGGTATGAAAAATGGACAAAATATTACATTCCCTAGAGAAATTGATGAAGCTGTAAGTGAATAATTCATTTTTAGTTTTATTAGATTCTGTATGATCTTAGAGAAAATTGACTACCAAGGAAAGAAAAATGGAATTTGGAGTTTTAAGTTATTTTTCCTTCCATTTTTTAAGCAATGTCGATATGGCGGTTAAAGAGATATGAGGTTTTAGTCTTGCGAAATATGTTTTTGTCGTCGAGAAATTTGAGGAATACAACTCAAGGAAAAGATATGTACTGAATATATATATATTTTTTTTCTCAAGTTTCTCGGACTCCAAATAGATTTGGGAATTAACTTTTTCAGTAATTAATTATTTGATCTGCTTGATTGTATATTGATTATTACATAATTTGCAAGAATATGTATAGAACAGGCTCCAATTCAGTTATAATTTGCATATAAGTACTGTTGTATTTGATAACATTTTAATGATTTTCTTTAAGTATCTGTTAATTAGTGATCTAAAATTTCAAGGATTAGCTTGTAAATTTTGATCAATGGACACCTTTTGTTTTCCTAGTTTCGGTTGGTACTTCATATTGCTTCAAGGATTTGTCTATATCGTTCTCATTTATCTTCAAGGTTTCACCACTAAACCGATGGTGAATCCATAGAAGATTTATGTGAAGCTCTCTGCAGTCTTAATAAATTCTCATGGTTTGACTTTCTTAACTATCCAACACAGGTCACATTCAAATCCACAAAGGTAAAAATTTAACTCCATTACTTTTTTAATTTCATGTTGAAAAAAATAACAATTTTCCTTACTAGATGTTTTGATAACTTCAGTTTTTGTTTGATAGTCAAATTGGGTCTCTTAATATGTAATGATGTAAATGACTCAAATTAGCTCATTGACTCTTGCTATGTGAATCAAGTAAATGAGATCAATTTGGCTATAATTGGAAATTTATTTTGTCATCTCAAGTTTTGCCAATAATGGTCATGGGCACATTCATACTGGGCCTCGGACGAAAATACCTAATTCATGAATATGTATCTAATATACTTTTAGTTGTGGGGATGATTCTTTTTACCTTAGCGGATGAACAAACTTCACCAAATTTCAGTATGATTAGTGTTATAATGGTATCAGGTGCTCTAATCATGGATATGTTTCTTGGTAATTTGCAAGAAGCAATCTTTACCATGAATCCTGAAACCACCCAGGTGACTATCCTGTGCTATGCTTTTGTGTTGTTTCTTAAATTGAAAAATTGTGACTTTATCTAGATATAATCTTACTCTGTACTTCTGTTAGTTTCAATCTTAATTGTTATATTTCATTTATTTGTTGTTCAATTGGTGACTGTAAAGAAGAGATCTACCATTTTTACAGCTATAGCGAACAGGATTTCTCAAATTTCCAGATTTTGTGGTTTTAAATTTCAAAATTAGATTAATTTGAGCTAGAAAGGCCTGATTTTCAGTCCATGGACTCATCATATTCAGTTCCAAGTCTTGCAAATATCACAGGTTAGGAGTGTTAAAATCACATATAACTTGAATTTGATCTTTAAAGTTACTGGATCATTGGAAGCTAATTATGTGTTTGGTGTGCACAAATATTGTCGGAGTGTACTGAATAATTTAAGTATGAGATTTTGTGAAATTTGGTTGTTGAAAGATGACAATTGCAAATAACTTACCAAAAGAGAAGAAATCTAGGAGGAGCAAACAAAGTTTTATTGTACAACAAATTTTGTTGGGATGGTGTATAAACTTTACATAAATTAATATTAGTTTTGGTATTACATAACATTGGAGAGAATAGTATAACAATGTTGAAGTTACTTTGATTGAAATTGCAGTGGATAGTGCGCTTCTTGAGCTTTTGGCATTGAGGGAAAGTGCGTGCATCAAGAATTAGTGTATCCAAACGATGTCCAGAATCCATGGTTGTTAATTGTTTAGGATCGGGGTTAGCCTTGCTCAGTTGTATTATAATATTTGATGGTTCTGATTACTAACACAAACTATTTTATGCAAATACAAAACAACCCTTAAACACTGTCTTCTTCATTTAAAACGGTCTACTGTTCTCTCGTAAACCAACAGAAAACACAAAATAATTTTTCTAAACCATATATATATATATATATTGCTTAAACATTACACTCTTCCTATAATACATTTGCAAATCCCATGAGTTAATCTTTTATATAATACAAATGTTCATCTTGGAAATCCTTAAAACAAAAACATACCAAAAACAGAAAAAAAATTATACCTCAACTATTGCAGCTATTAATTTTCCACACAGTTGACTTCAGTTTCAGCTTCTCACTCTGAAAGAGCCTTGACTTTTGAATCCATTGCTGGTCTCATGTTTCTATCTTCTTCCACACTAGATATGCAAATTTCAACAACAATTTTGTAGCCTGGTTCATGTGAAAGAGTTGAAAAATTTTACTCACTTCAGCCTAAAACGCTTCTTCTCCTCAATATATATCTCTTAGTCTCTTCACGACGACTGCCATTTCATCTACAAAAACACCCTGCTTACATGCTTCACACCGGAAATCATATAAGCAAAGCTTCAATGAAATTGAGATCAATTTCTTAGAAATCAACTCTTGGAACAGTACTTATGTTGCATTTTTCTTTTGATTGATGGATACTCTTGACAAGCCTCTTTGACTCATCAATTCCAACAACTCATTAGCTTCCTCCATCTTCCCCACCTCACAAAGCCCACTTATCATTGTAGTGAACATCACCGCATCAGGCTGCAAACCTCTTTGACTCATCAATTCAAACAACCCATTAGCTTCCTCCATCTTCCTCACCTTGCAAAGCCCATTAATCATTGTAGTAAATGTCACCATATTAGGCTACAAACCTCTTTGACTCGTCAATTCCAACAACCGATTAGCTTCCTCTATCTTCCCTTCCTTTCAAAGCGCACTTATCATTGTAGTAAATGTCACCACATTAGGCTGAAAACCTGTTTTACTCATCAGTTCCATCAACCTATTAGCTTCCTCCATCTTCCCCACCTTGCAAAGCCCACTTATCATTGTAATGAACGTCACCACATTAGGCCGCAAACCTTTTTGACTCATCAATTCCATTAACCCATTGGCTTCCTCCATCTTCTCCTCCTTGCAAAGCCCATTTATCATTGTATCAAAAGTCACCACATCAGGCTGCAAACCTCTTTGACTCATCAATTCCATCAACCCATTAGCTTCCTCCATCTTCCCCACCTTGCAAAGCCCACTTATCATTATAGTAACCGTCACCACATCAGGCTGCAACCCTCTTTGATTCATCAATTCAAACAACCCATTAGCTTCATCCATCTTCCCCACCTTGCAAAGCCCACTTATCATTGTAGTGAACGTCACCACATTAGGCTGCAAACCTCTTTGACTTATCAATTCCATCAACCCATTAGCTTCTTCCATCTTCCCCACCTTGCAAAGCCCATTAATCATTGTAGTAAATGTCACCACATTAGGCTGCAAACCTCTTTGACTCATTAATTCCATCAACTCATTAGCTTCCTCCATCTTCCCCTCCTTGCAAAGCCCATTTATCATTGTAGTAAAAGTCACCATATTAGGCTGCAAACCTCTTTGACTCATCAATTCCACTAACCTATTATCTTCCTCCATCTTCCCCTTCCTACAAAGCCCATTTATCATTGTATTAAATGTCACCACATTAGGCTGTAAACCTCTTTGAATCATCAATTCCATCAACCCATTAGCTTCCTCTACCTTCCCTGAATGCCACAACTCGTTAATCAAAGTAAAATACATAATCACGTTAGGCATAACCCCAAACATAGCCATTTTCTTGTACAACCTCGTAGCCTCCGAACTCCTATTCTCCATACACAATCCTTTAATCAGAGAAGTCAAAGTCACAACATTTGGGCCAAAACACCACCTCAAAATCCTCCCAAAAACAACAAAACCATCACATACTCTACCCACTTTACAAAAACAATTAATTAAAATATTCAAAGTAATCAAATCCGGCAACAACCCAATTGAACCTACTCTCTTGTACAGCAAAATAATGTCTTCATAAAACTTTTTCTTAGCAAGAGCTCCAAACAACTGGTTGAATGAAGAAATCGGTCGTTGGGGTTGCATATGAGTCATTAAACAAAAGAAATAGTGTGCTTCATCAAGGGTGATATTACCTTCTTTACAATCTTTTTGAAGGAATTTATCAAGCCTCGCTACCTCTTCAACGTTATGTACTGAATCTTTTGGCATAGTTGTCGTCACTTTACATGAATTTGTCAATAAAGATGAGATTTTGGTTTCAGTAACCGTTTCACTAGAAGAATAAAAACGACGAAGAAAGGTTTTGGAGGCCATTTGAGTAGCGGCGTTTTTGGATTATCTAGGGTTCAAACTGGCTTAGTCTTTTGTGGGTTTACATTTAAATAATACAATCTCACCAGAAATGAGAGTGAGATAAAATGTCTTTATCTAAAACCTGTAGGGTTCGCATGTAATTATACAGACACTTGACCCCTCACTCCCTCTCTCATTCTCTTTAATGTAATGACACGTATTCATCTTTAATCTTCATCTTATTTTTAAACCATATTGTACAACATTGCCATTTTCTCTCTTTTCTTTTTGCTATTTGCTCATGTTTTCAACATGCAGTATTTGTTTTTAGTTTTCAATTTTTATTATTTATCAATTGTATATTTGGTTTCTTCGATTGTATAAACTGTCAATCAAGAAAAAAGTTTAATAAAATTTATTGATGATTGTATGTACAATCAATTATGAATAAATTTTTTTTTTTTATCTTTCGATTGGTTTACTGTATGTACAATTGAAATTACAAAGTTTTTCTTCTTCTCCTAGTTTACTCTTATATATCTACGACATAGTCTGATTCATAAAGTTGTAAACTAGCACCTGAGCTTTGACGTGACATCTTTTGATTAGTCGATTGTTTATACAACCATTAGAAGGTAGAGTAATGTTACGCCAATAACTTTTTTCTCACAAACTTCTCTTACAACCAAATTACGCGGCAGTTGAGTTAGCGTTGTTATGTCAAAATAATTTTAACTAGACCAAAGAAATGGTCGTTCCTTCATAAGTAACAACTGTTCTTTATGAAGGAATGATCGTTCCTCACGGAATGAATGACTGTTCGTTATGAAGGAACAACTAAAGGAATTGTCATTCATAAATAAAGAATCATCATTTGTAACTAAATTTACATTTTACAACTTATTTTGCTTTTAGTTTATACACATAATATTTAAAATTCTGCATATTTGTCCATTATCAACGTGCTTACATAGGTACGCTGTAGACAACCCTTATTTCTAAATTCTAACACCAAATTTTTATGGTAAAACAAAAGAGTGGGTTATTTGTAACTGAATTTACATTTTACATATTTATTTCGTTTTAAGTTTATACACTTAATATTTAAAATTATGCATATTTGTCCATTATCAACATGCTTGCATAGGTATGATGCAGACAACCATGAATGCTAAAATAGTGTTTTTTAATCAATTTTCAACAAAGTTTATGATTTTTATTACTTATCCTCAACAATTCAAGCCAAAATCCAAAATTTGCTCAAAAATGGACAAACCATGTAATACCTAGCAACCTAAAATCAGGCTATGTGATATGAATTGTGATCCATGACAAAAATTGTAAAGAGACACAAAAATTTATTTATTATTTTTTTTAGTGATCGGAGTGTCTAGGTCAGCTTGCGCACACCTAAACTAATCACTTGGGCCTCAGAAGTTAACAATTGGATAAATCCCCTCAGTGGTCACCAATATTAGCAACACATAAATTACTACTTTATTTGGTCGATAGTTTTGTCTCTCGAGTTTGAGTCTCTAAGGTTGTTAATACTACTAACTACTAGAACTCGTATTCAGCCGATATGTACTGAAAATATATTTTTTTTTTCTCAAGTTTCTCAACCTTCAAATAGAGTTGAGAATTAACTTTTTCAGTAATTAATTATTTGATCCGCTTGATTGTAAACTGATTATTACGTAATTGCAGGAATATGTATACAATAGGGTCCAATTTAGGTATAATTTGCATATAAGTACTGTTGTATTTGGTAACATTTTAATGATTTTCTTTAAGTATTTGCTAATCAGTGATATGAAATTTCAAGGATTAGTTTGTAAATTATGATAAATGGACACCTTTTGTTTCCCCAGTTACGGGACATTTGTTCAAGGATTTGTCTATATCGTTCTCATTTATCTTCAAGGTTTCACCACTAAATAGATGATGAATCCATGGAAGACTTATGTGAAGCTCTCTCTAGTCTTAATGGGTTCTCATGGACTTACCAAAGAGTCTTTGGCTTTCTTAACTATCCAGCACAACTCACGTTCAAATCCACAAAGGTAAATATTTAACTCCATTACTTTTTTTAATTTCATGTTGAAAAAAATAATGATTTTCCTTACTAGACGTTTTGATAACTTCAGTTTTTGTTTGATTGTCAAATTGGATCTCTTAATCTATAATGTTGTAAATTATTCAAATTAGCTCATTGACTCTTGCAATGTGAATAAAGTAAACGGGATCAATTTGGCTATAATTGGAAATTTATTTTGTCGTCTCAGGTTTTGCCTGTAATGGTCATGGGCACATTCATACTGGGCATCAGACGAAAATACCTGGTTCATAAATATGTATCTGCAATACTTTTAGTTGTGGGGTTGATTCTTTTTACCTTAGCAGATGCACAAACTTTACCAAATTTTAGTATGATTGGTGATATAATGGTATTGGGTGCTCTAATCATGGATTCGTTTCTTGGTAATTTGCAAGAAGGAATCTTTACCATCAATCTTGAAACCACCTAGGTGACTATCCTGTCCTATGCTTTTGTCTTGTTTCTTAAATTGAAAATGTGTGACTTTATCTAGATATCATCTTACTCTGCGACTTCTATTAGTTTCAATCTTAATTGTTCTAATTCATTTATTTATTGTTCAATTGGTGACTGTAAAGAAGAGATCTACCGTTTTCACAAATATAGAGAACTGGATTTCTCAAATTTCCAGCTTTCATGGTTTTAAATTTCAGAATTAGATTAATTTGAGCAAGAAATGCCTAACTTTTAGTCCATAGACTCATCAAATTCTGTTCCAAGTCTTGCAAATATCATAGGTTAGGAGTGTTAAAATCCCATATAACTTCAATTTGATCTTTAAAGTTATTGGATCATTGGAAGCTAATTAGGTGTTTGGTATGCACATATATTGTTAGAGTGTACTGAATAATTTAAGTCTGAGATTTTGTGAAATTTAGCTGTTGAAAGATGACAATTGCAAATAACTTACCGAAAAAGAAGCAATCCAGAAGGAGCAAACAAAGTTTAATTGTACAACAAATTTTGTTTGGATGGTGTATAAACTTTATAGAAATTAAGATTAATTTTGGTATTACATAACACTAGAGAGAATAGTATAACAATGTTGCAGTTACTTTGGTTGAAATCAAGAATTAGTGTATTGCCACGACACATTTTCCTTGGTCTCTACACATATGGGTTGGCTGTGGCGACTGCAGAAACAGATCTTCAAGAGAAATTGACATTTTTACAAAGGAGAAGTGTATCTGAACGATGTCCAGAATCAATGGTTGTTAATAGTTTAGGATTGGGGTTAGCCTTGCTCAGTGATATTATAATATTCGCAGCTATTTCACCCGAGTACCATGTTCACCAACCTAAACTCAAGTACTCAAATTCCAGGGCTTCTCTTCTTAATAAAAGAAGAGATAATGATAGATCGAGATAATAAGATTGAATTGTAGAAGTTAGATTGATTTACATATGTTTTCTGTGCTAAAGTAGGAAAGTTGTTCCTTTGTTTTTGGATAGTTAAGTTGATAGATATGTGGCTTAAAATTTTTGGTACTAGTAATTTTACTACAAAGAGTTAAACAATTTTGTGGTGCAATTCAATATGAGAAGACTTGGCAGGAACTTCAATTTATTACTATTATTTTCAGAAAAAAAAAAAAAGATAAAGAAAGAAGGTCAAGAACAAAGAGTTTGTTTTATGTGTTAAATAGGTGGAGATACAACCACTAGAACCTGTCCAATATCTTTACACCAACATTAAATATATATTTAAATTTAATACTATTATTTGGTATATAATATTTTTATTATTTATTTTTTTAATTATCAATTCACGATAAAATTAACTTCAATACAAATAATTTAATGCCAGACTAATAATTAATAATAATATAAAAAAATTCTATGCAAGCTTTCTATCTAGTTTTTTAATAAGTCATAGCCGTCCGTCCCTATCAAATCAATCCAGCGTTCCCTCTCTTCCACCATTGCTTCAAATAAACTACCAAGCATTCAACAGAAACTTCCCACTTTGTTATTTTTTTCTAATTTAAAAAAAAAATTATTTTTCATAGAATTCATCGCTACTCAATGTCCTTTCTTCATATAACATTCATTCATTTTTTTTTTCCCCTTTTGTTTGTAAAGTCTCAACGGATCCTCCTCTCAACCCCATCACCTTCTCTAACAGCTTAAAGGTATATTTTTCTTCTCTTTTCTTTTCAGGTTTCTTCTACTGCATTAACATAAACCCACCTATGTGTGACTTGATCTAGTTGTTTAAGTAAACTCAGTGGCTCTGGTGATTGGTGAAATGTTTAGAAATGTTTAAAACATTTGTACTCTAGGTGTATTTTATGGTAGTTTTTATACTTTAGGGGTTTTATTGATTTTTGGATAACTACAGAGTGTTTATTTATTTACCTTTTGGATTAACATCATATGATTGTGATATATCTAGTTTGCTTCTTTCTACTGCATAAGCCCACTTGTGTGTGTTGAACCAGTTATTTAACTGAATTCCGTGACTTTGGTGGCAGCTGAATGAAATGTGAAATACAAACTATTTTATGCAAATACAAAACAACCTTTAAACACCTTCTTCTTCATTTAGGAAGGTCTACTGTCCTCTCACAAACTAATAGAAAACACAAAATAATTTTTCTAAACCTTACACAAATATATTGCATAAACATTACACTTTTCCTATGATACATTTGCAAATCCCATGAGTTAATCCTTCATATAATCAAAATGCTCATCTTGGAAATCCTTAAAACAAAAACATACCAAAAACAGAAAACAAATTTATACCTCAAATATTGCAGCAATTAATTTTCCACACAGTTGACTACGGTTTCAGCTTCTCGTTCTGAAAGAGCCTTGACTTTTGAATCCATTGCTGGTCTCATGTTTCTATCTTCTTCCACACCAGACATGCAAATTTCAACAACAATTTTGCAGCCTGGTTCATGTGAAAGAGTTTGCAAATTGTACTCACTTCAGCCTAAAACGCTTCTTCTCTTCAATATATATCTCCTAGTCTCTTCAGGACGACTGTCATTTCATCAACTAAAACACCTTGCTTAGATGATGCACACCGGAAATCATATAAGCAAAGTTTCAGTAAAATTGAGATCAAATCCTTAGAAATCAACTCTTGGAACAGTAATCAGTAATTAGTTCTAGTGTTGCATTTTTCTTTTGATTGATGGATATTCTTGATAAACCTCTTTGACTCATCAATTCCAGCAACCCATTAGCTTCCTCCATTTTCCCCACCTCACAAAGCCCACTTATCATTATAGTGAACATCACTACATCAAGCTGCAAACCTCTTTGATTCATCAATTCAAACAACCCATTAGCTTCCTCCATCTTCCCCACCTTGCAAAGCCCACTTATCATTATAGAGAACGTCACCACATCAGGCTGCAAACCTCTTTGATTCATCAATTCAAACAACCCATTAGCTTCCTCCATCTTCCCCACCTTGGTAAGCCCATTTATCATTGTATTAAAAGTCACCACATTAGGCTGCAAACCTCTTTGACTCGTCAATTCCATTAACTAATTAGCGTCCTCCATCTTCCCCTCTTTGCAAAGCCCATTAATCATTGAATTAAACGTCACCAATTTCAACCCAAAATTTGCAGCCTAGTTCAAGTAAAAGATTTTCCAAATTGTACTCAATACTCACTTCAGCCTAAAATGCTTCTTCGCGTCAATATATATCTCCTAGCCTCTGCCCTTTCATAAACTAAAACACCATGCTTAGATGCTTCGCACCGGAATCATATAAGCAAAGCGTAAGTGAAATTGAGATCAAATCTTTAGAAATCAACTCTTGGAACAGTAATTAGTAATTAGTTCTAGTGTTGCTTTCTTTTGATTGATGGATATTCTTGATAATGTTAAACTTATCAAAACGCATTTACCTTTGGTTGGATCAAGAAAATTTCAATGCCTTGAGATCTTTGGCACGTCATTATCAAATTATCCTACCATACTGCTTCAAATATCTTCATCTTGAAAATCCTTAAAACAAAAACATACCAAAAACAGAAAACAAATTTATACCTCAAATATTGCAGCTATTAATTTTCCACACGGTTGACTTCAGTTTCAGCTTCTCATTCTTAAAGAGCCTTGACTTTTGAATCCATTGCTGGTCTCAGGTTTCTATCTTCTTCCACACCAGACATGCAAATTTCAACAACAGTTTTGCAGCCTGGTTCATGTGAAAGAGTTTGCAAATTGTACTCACTTCAGCCTAAAACGCTTCTTCTCCTCAATATATATCTCCTAGTCTCTTCACAACAACCGTCATTTCAGCAACTAAAACATCCTGCTAAGATGCTGCACACCAGAAATTGTATAAGCAAAGCTTCAGTAAAATTGAGATCAAATCCTTAGAAATCAACTCTTGGAACAGTAATTAGTAATTAGTTCTAGTGTTGCATTTTTCTTTTGATTGATGCATATTCTTGATAAACCTCTTTGATTCATCAATTCCAACAACCCATTAGCTTCCTCCATCTTCCCCTCCTTGCAAAGCCCATTTATCATAGTATTAAAAGTCACCACATTAGGCTGCAAACCTCTTTGATTCATCAATTCGAACAACCTATAAGCTTCCTCCATCTTCCACTCCTTGCAAAGCCCATCTATCATTGAATTAAAAGTCACCACATTAGGCTGCAAACCTCTTTGAGTTATCAATTCCAACAATCCATTAGCTTCCTCTGTCTTCCCCTCCTTGCAAAGCCCACTTATCATTGAATTAAATGTCACCATGTCAGGCTGCAAACCTCTTCGACTCATCAATTCCAACAACCCATTAGCTTCCTCCATCTTCCCCTCATAGCAAAACCCATTTATCATTGAATTAAAAGTCACCACATTAGGCTGCAAGCCTCTCTGACTTATTAATTCCATCAGCCCATTAGCTTCCTCCATCCTCCCCACCTTGCAAAGCCCACTTATCATTGTAGTAGATGTCACCACATCAGGCTGCAAACCTTTTTACTCATCAATTCCAAAAACCCATTAGCTTCCTCCGTCTTCCCCACCTTGCACAGTCCATTTATCATTGTATTAAAAGTCACCACATCAGGCTGCAAACCTCTTTGATTCATCAATTCCAACAACCCATTAGCTTCCTCCATCTTCCCCACCTTGCAAAGCCCACTTATCATTGTAGTAAATGTCACCACATCAGGCTGCAAACCTCTTTGATTCATCAATTCCAACAACCCATTAGCTTCCTCCATCTTCCCTTCCTTGCAAAGCCTATTTATCAATGTATTAAAAGTCACCAAATTAGGCTGCAAACCTCTCTAACTCATCAATTCGAACAACTCATTAGCCTCCGTACCCCTATTCTCCAAACACAAACCTTTAATCAAAGAAGTCAAAGTCACAACATTTGGGCTAAAACCCCACTTCAAAATCCTCCCGAAAACAACAAAACCATCACAAACTCGACCCACGTTACAAAAACAATTAATCAAAACATTTAATGCAAAAAGATCTGGCATCAACCCCATGGAATCCGCTCGCTTGTAAGCAAAATAACGTCTTCATAAAACTTCTTCTTAGCAAGAGCTCCAAACAATCCGTTGAATGATGAAATCGGTGGTTTGGGTTGCATATGAATCATTAAACAAAAGAAATAGCGTGCTTCATCAAGAGTGATATTACCTTGTTTACAATCCTTTTGAATGAATTTATTAAGCCTCGCTACCTCTTCAATGTTATGTACAGAATCTGGTGGTATAGTTGTAGTCACTTTACATGAATTTGTGAACAAAGATGAGGTTTTGGTTTCAGAAGAAGAAGAACAACGACGAAGAAAGGTTTTGAACGCCATTTGAGTAGCAGCGTTTGTGGATTATCTAGGGTTCAAACTGGCTAAGTCTTTTGTGGTTTAAATAAAACAATCTCACGGGAAATGAGTGTGGGATAAAATGTATTTATGTGAAACCTGTAGGGTACATATGTAATTATCCAGGCACCGGTGGTCTGTTAAAAGGCAAAATTATAATAAAATTTGAACCTTTCAGTCCCTCTCTCATTTCTCTCTTTAATGAAATGAGACCACTTTGCCATTTCTTAATGTTATCTGCTCATGTCTCAATCGATGACTTGATCCAGTTGTTTTAAGTGAAATCAGTGTCTCTGGTGGTGGGTGAAATCAGTGTCTCTGGTGGTGGGTGAAATGTTTGTACTCTAGGTGCATTTTGTGTTAGTTTTAAACTTTAGGGGATTTATTAATTTTTGGATAACTAAAGAGTGTTTATTTATTTACCTTTTGGATACAGATCATATGATTGTGATAAACCTATTTGTCATTAATCATTGCAGTAAAAATCGCCAAATTAGGCTGTAAATCTCCCTGATTCATCAGTTCCAACATTCCAGTAGCTTCCTCCGTCTTCCCCTCCTTGCAAAGCCCATTAATCATTGAATTAAAAGTCACCACCTTAGGCTACAAACCTCTTTGACTCATCAATTTCAGTAACCCATTAACTTCAACCATCTTCCCCTGCTTACAAAGCCCATTTATCATTGTATTAAAAGTAACCACATTAGGCTGCAAACCTATTTGACTCATCAATTCCAACAACCCATTAGCTTCCTCCATCTTCCCCTCCTTGCAAAGCCAATATATCATAGTAATAAAAGTCACCACATTAGGCTACAAACCTCTTTGACTCATCAATTCCAACAACCCATTAGCTTCCTCCATCTTCCCCTCCTTGCAGAGCCCACTTATGATTGTATTAAAAGTAACCACATTAGGCTACAAACCTTGATTCGCCATCTCAATAAACAAACTCTCAGCCTCCTCCATATTTCCCACAAAACACCAACTGTAAATTACAGAGTTACAAACAACCACATCTGGCTTAATTCCTCTCCTCTTCATTTCCAAATAAATTTCTTTCACCCTCTCTACCAACCCATCTTTGCAAAGAGCATCAATAATACTATGATAAGAAACAATATCAAGCTTACAAATAAAACCCTGCTCACCATTAAATCGTATTTACTATATTATATTACAAAGTTGCCATTTTCTTTCTCTTTTTTTTATGTTATTTTACTCATGTTTTCAACATACAGTATTTGTATTTTTTTGTTATCAATTTTTATTATTTATTAATTGTATATTTGGTTTCTTTGGTTGTAAAAACTGTCAATCAAGAAAAAAGTTAAATAAAATTTATTGATGATTGTATGTACAATCAATTATGAATGGGCGTGTGTTCATTTGCAGTTGCTGGTCGGGGCCGTGGGAATGGAAAGAAAGATGAATAGTTCGGTTCATGTATGATGATTTGTGTTGGGCGGCTTACTCTTCTTTGGATAAATGTTTTTTTAAAAACCTAAGACAAAAACAACACACTGCCTTTCATTAACATCAATAATAAACATTACACTCTTCCTATTATACATTTGCAAATCCCATTTATATAATCAAACTGTTCATCCTGGTAATCCTTAAAACAAAAACAAACCAAAAACAGAAAACAAATTTATACCTCAAATATTGCAGCAATTCATTTCCCACACAATTGACTTCAGTTTCAACGTCTTACTCTGAAACAGTTTCAATAAAAATTTTGAAGCCTAGTTCATGTAAAAGAGTTTCCAAATTGCACTCACTTCAGCCTAAAATGCTTCTTCTCCTCAATATATATCGTCTAGTCTCTTCAAACCCACGCCAACCCCCTTTTCATCAACTAAAACACCTCTGCTTAGATGCTTCACGCCAAAAATCATATAAGCAAAGCTTCAGTGAAATTGAGATCAAATCCTTAGAAATCAACTCTTGGATATTCTTGATAAACCTCTTTGACTCATCAAATCCAACAACCCATTAGCTTCCTCCATCTTCCCCACCTTGAAAAGCCCACTTATCATTGTAGTAAACGTCACCGCATCAGGCTGCAACCCTCTTTGATTCATAAATTCAAACAACCCATTCGCTTCCTCCATCTTCCCCTCCTTGAAAAGCCCACTTATCATTGTAGTAAACGTCACCACATCAGGCTGCAACCCTCTTTGATTCATCAATTTAAACAACCCATTAGCTTCCTCCATCTTCCCTACCTTGCAAAGCCCACTTATCATTGCAGTAAATGTCACCACATCAGGCTGCAAACCTCTTTGACTCATCAATTCCAACAACCCATTAGCTTCCTCCATCTTCCCTTCCTTCGAAAGCCCATTTATCATTGTATTAAAAGTCACCAAATCAGGCTGTAAACTTCTTTGATTCATCAATTCAAACAACCCATTAGCTTCCTCCATCTTCCCCAACTTGCAAAGCCCATTTATCATTGTATTAAAAGTCACCAAATTAGGCTGCAAACCTCTTTGATTCATCAATTCCAACAACCCATTAGCTGCCTTCGTCTTCCCCTTCTAGCAAAGCCCATTAATCATTGAATTAAAAGTCACCACATCAGGCTGCAAACCTCTTTGAATCATCAATTCAAACAACCCGTTAGCTTCCTCCATCTTCCCCTCCATGCAAAGCCCATTTATCATTGCATTAAAAGTAACCACATTAGGCTGCAAACCTATTTGACTCATCATTTCCAACAACCCATTAGCTTTGTCCATCTTCCCCTCCTTACAAAGCCCATTTATCATTGTAGTAAATGTCACCACATCAGGCTGCAAACCTCTTTGAATCATCCATTCCAACAGCTCTTTAGCTTCCTCTATCTTCCCTTCCTTGCAAAGCCCACTTATCATTATAGTGCACGTCACCACATCAGGTTGCAAACCTCTTTGACTCATCAACTCCAACAACCCATTAGCTTCCTCCATCTTCCCCTCCTTGCAAAGCCCATTTATCATTGTAGTAAAAGTCACCACATCAGGCTGCAAACCTCTTTGACTCATCAATTCCAACAATCCATTAGCTTTATCCATCTTCCCCTCCTTGCAAAGCCCATTTATCATTGTATTAAAAGTCACCAGATTAGGCCACAAACCTCTTTGAGTCATCAATTCCAACAACGCATTAGCTTCCTCGGTATTCCCCTTCTTGCAATGCCCATTTATCATTGAATTAAAAGTCACCACATCAGGCTGCAAACCTCTTTGAATCATCAATTCCATCAACCCATTAGCTTCCTCCATCTTCCCCTCCTTGCAAAACCCACTTATCATTGTATTATATGTCAATAAATTGGGCTGCAAACCTTGATCCACCGTCTCATTAAACAATCTCTCAGCCTCCTCCAAATTTCCCACAAAACACCAACCGTAAATTAGAGAGGTACAAACAACCACATTTTGCTTAATTCCTCTACTCTTCATTTCCGAAAACAATTCTTTAGCCATATCGACCAACCCATCTTTGCAAAGACCATTGATAATACTACCATAAGAAACAATATCTGGCCTGACCCCAAACACATCCATTTTCTTGAACAACTCCGTAGCCTCCATACTCCTATTCTCCAAACACAAACCTTTAATCAAAGAATTAAAAGTTACAGCATCTGGGTTAAAACCCCACCTCAAAATCCTCCAAAAAACAACAAAACCATCACAAACTCGACCCACATTACAAAAACAATTAATCAAAATATTCAAAGTAATTAAATCTGGCAACAACCCAATTGAACCCAGTCGTTTGTATAGTAAAATAACGTCTTTATAAAACTTCTTCTTAGCAAGAGCTCCAAACAATCGGTTGAATGATGAAATCGGTGGTTTGGGTTGCATATGAGTCATTAAACAAAAGAAATAGCGTGCGTCACCAAGACTAATATTACCTTGTTTACAGTCTTTCAGAAGGAATATATCGAGCTTCGCTCCATCTTCAACGTTATATATTGAATCTTGTGGTATAGTTGTAGTCACTTTACTTGAATTTGTGAATAAAGATGAGATTTTGGTTTCAGAAGAAGAAGAACAACGACGAAGAAAGGTTTTGGAGGCCATTTGAGTAGCGGAGTTTGAGGATTATCTAGGGTTCTAACAGGCTGTCTTTTGTGGTTAAATAATACAATCTCACGGGAAATGAGTGTGGGATGAAATGTATTTATCTGAAACCTGTAGGGTTTACATGTAATTAATCAAAATTATTGAGCCTTTCACTCCCTCTCTCATTCTCTCTTTAATCTAATGACACGTATTCGTCTTTAAACTTCATCTTATTTTTAAACCATATTTGCTATATTATATTACAACATTGCCTTTTTTTTCTCTTTTCTTTATGTCATTTGCGCATGTTTCAACGAATCAACATACAATAGTGTATACTTGGTTCCTTTGGTTGTAAAAACTGTCAATCAAGTAAAAAGTTAAATAAAATTTCATTGATGATTCTATGCACAATCAATGATGAATAAGTTTTTTTTTTTTTTTTTTTTATTGGTTGATTTATATGTACAACTGACATAACAAAGTTTTTCTTGTTCTTGTTCTCATAGTTTATTGGTATATATCTATGAGATGGTCTGATTCATTAAATTGTAAACTAACACCCGAGATTCGATGTGACATCTTTTTATTAATCGATTGTTTATACAATCATTACAAGGAACCTTTATCTTTCTTTTAACAGTAATATTAGGTCCACAATTCAATCTTACAATATTCTCTCACAACTCCCTACATGATAGTTCGTAATTAATCAACTCGCAAATAAACAAATAGGACCCATAACAAGCGGGTGAGACCTATTTGCGAGCTCATAAATTACAAGCTATCAGGGGTTGTAAGAGAAAGTTGTATACCTCTTCTTTTAAAGGTTTGCAGGTACATGTCCATGATCTACTCTAACTCATGAAGCCATAGATCTAATTGCTCCCTAAAGTTTTTTCTTTAATCACTTAGATGTCAAATTTGTTAAATATTAATTTTATAACCTTAATTCTAACACCAAAATTTTAAGGTATAACAAAAAAGTGCGGTTATTTGTAACTAAATTTACATTTTACACACTTATGTTGTTTTAAGTTTATACACATAATATTTAAAATTATGCATATTTGTCCATTATCAACATGCTTGCATAGGTACGGCGCAAACAACCCTGAATGCTGAAACAATGTTTTTTAATCAATTTTCAACAAAGTTCACTTGGATGTCAAATTTGTTAAATATTAATTTTATACCCTTAATTCTAACACCAAATTTTTAAGGTATAACAAAAGAGTGCGGTTATTTGTAACTAAATTTATATTTTACACACTTATCTTGTTTTAAGTTTATACACATAATATTTAAAATTATGCATATTTGTCCATTATCAACATGCTTGCATAGGTACGACGCAAACAACCCTGAATGCTGAAACAATGTTTTTTAATTAATTTTCAACAAAGTTTATGATTTTTATTATATATCCCATCAACTTATCCCTAACAAGTCAAGCCAAAACCCGAAATTTGCTCAAAAATGGACAAACCTTGTAATACCCGACAACCTAAAATCAGCCCATGTGATATGAATTGTGATCCATGACAAGTACTGTAAGGAGACAACTAGCACATAAATTTATTTATTTATTTATTTATTTTGGTGATCGGAGTGTCCATGCTAGCTTGTGCGTACCTCAACTAATCACTCGGGGCCCTGAAGTTGACAATCGGATAAATCACTTCAGTGGTCACCCATATTAGCAAGTAGCAACACATAAATTACTACATTATTTGGCTGATAGTTTTGTCTCTCGAGTTCAAGTCTCCAAGGTTTGTTAATACTGGTGGCTACTATAACTCTTATTCGGCCGATAATTTTCAAAATCTCTAAAAAATAGTTGAGATGTGCACAAATTTTCCGAAAGCTCCAATCATTAGAAAAGAAAAAAAAAAAAAACAATATTGATATGGATCTAAATTCTGAACCCGCAAATGCAATGTTCATCCCCACATGAAGGGAATAATTTATGATTTACTAGTGACCATTTATTTTCTAGAAGATCACAATCAAATAATAATTCCTATTAAATAAAATTTAATTATCAATTTCTACAATCTATATATCTATATAATCCTGAAGCCCACCCTCTCTATTGATCGTCATTTGGACTCCACGTAGGATGCCACATAAGATCTTAGGAGCTTTGTTAATATACGATTGCTATGTAGGAAGATTTATGTTAATCCCTTCATATTGGCCTAAATATTAATAACAATTAAATAGTGACATCCCAAAGGTCTCAATAAAACTTTATTTACATGAAAATTGTTTTTTATTAGTAATAATAGCACACACTAGTCCCTTCACATTCACTTTGTGTCAGAATCATGCCAAGAAGTTGTTTATTTTTTATGGTTGTGTTTAGTTTTTTGTATAATAATTCATATCGTCCTAATCGGTTTATCTTTAGTTTCTGATATTGATTTCACATTTGGTCTTTGATGGGTTGTCTTTAATTTTTGTAAAGGCATAGATTTATCACTTTTGAGACCAATGGTGAGGACTTGGTACCCTTACTGGGTCAATTATAATGTAAAGATAGTAGCTTTATTCAACCAAACATTGTCTTTATGATTTGTTAATTTATGTGTGATTGCTTTATTTGTAGGTACTGGAACCTAGGAATAGGTTAGTGAAGAAGGATGGATCAATTGGGTTGGAGAAACTCTTAGCGACAAGGATCATTGCACAGTGTGTAAGGATGAAAGGTTGTTCAAGAGAAGGAAGTATTGAAATCAATAGTTGAGAAGGGTATGCATAATGGAATGAAGATTACATTCCCTAGAGAAATTGATGAAGCTGTAAGTGAATAATTCATTTTTAGTTTTATTAGATTCTATTTGATCTCAGAGAAAATTGACAACCAAGGAAAGAAAAATGGAACTTGGAGTTTTATGTTATTTTTCCTTCCGTTTTTTAAACAATATCGATATAGCAGTTGAAAGATATGAGGTTTCAGTTTTGCGAAATATGTTTTTATTGTTGAGAAATTTGAGGAATACAACTCAAGGAAAAGATATGTACTGAATTTTTTTTTTTTTTTTTTTTGTTTTCTCAAGTTTCTCAGCCTCCAAATAGAGTTGAGAATTAACTTTTCAGTAACTAATTATTTGATCGCTTGATTGTAAACTGATTATTACATAATTTGCAGGAATATGTATACAACAGGCTCCAATTCAGGTATAATTTGTAATATAAGTACTGTTGTGTTTGGAAACATTTTAATGATTTTCTTTAAGTATTTGTTAATTAGTGATCTGAAATTCTAAGGATTAGTTTGCAAATTTTGATCAATGGACACCTTTTGTTTTCCCATTTGCGGTTGGTACTTCACATTTGTTCAAGGATTTGTCTATATCGTTCTCATTTATCTTCAAGGTTTCACCACTAAACAGATGGTGAATCCATGGAAGACTTATGTGAAGCTTTTTGCAGTCTTAATGGGTTCTCATGGACTTACCAGAGGGTCTTTGTCTTTCTTAACTATTTATTGCAAGTTACATTCAAACCCACAAAGGCAAATATTTAACTCCACTACTTTTTTAATTTCATGTTTAAAAAATAACAATTTTCCTTACCAGACGTTTTGATAACTTCAGTTTTTGTTTGATAGTCAAATTGGGTCTCTTAATCTATAATGGTATAAATAACTCAATTTAGCTCATTGACTCTTGCTACGTAAATCAAGTAAACAAGATAAATTTGGCTATAGCTGGAAATTTATTTTGTCATCTCAAGTTTTCCTATAATGGTCATGCGCGCATTCATACCAAGCCTTAGACGAAAATACCCGGTTCATGAATATGTATCTGCAATACTTTTAGTCGTGGGGTTGATTCTTTTTACTTTAGCAGATGCACAAACTTCACCAAATTTCAGTATGATTGCTGTTATAAGGTATCGGGTGCTCTAATCATGGATTCGATTCTTGGTAATTTGCAAGAAGCAATCTTTACTAAGAATCCTGAAACCACCCAGGTGACTATCTTGTGCTATGCTTTTGTGTTGTTTCTTAAATTGAAAAATTGTGACTTTATCTAGATATCATCTTACTCTGTGACTTATGTTAGTTTCAATCGCAATTGTTCTATTTCATTTATTTATTGTTCAATTGGTGACTCTAAAGAAGAGATCTACGTTTTTACAACTATAAAGAACTGGATTTCTCAAGTTTCCAGCTTTTGTGATTTTAAATTTAATAATTAGATTAATTTGAGCTAGAAAGGCCTGATTTTCAGTCCTAGACTCATCGAATTCACTTCCAAGTCTTGCAAATATCACAGGTTAGGAGTGTAAAATTAACTTCAATGCAAATAATTTAATGCCAGACAGACAATTAATAATAATGTAAACAAAGTTCTATAAACATACTCGTGCAACGTGCAGGCTTTCTATCTAGTTTTTTAATAAATCATAGCCATCCGTCCCTATCAAATCAATCCAGCTTTCCCTCTCTTCCACCATTGCTTCAAATAAACTACCAAGTACCAACAACAAAAACTTCCCTCTTTGTTATTTTTTTTTCTAATTTAAAAAAAAAAATTATTTTTCATAGAATTCATCTCTACTCAATGTCCTTTCTTCATATAACATTCATTCATTTTTTTCCCTTCTACTTGTAAAGTCTCAATGGATCCTCCTCTTAGCCCAGCACCTTCTCTAACAGCTTAAAGGTAGAATTTTCTTCTCTTCTCTTTTCAGGTTTCTTCTGCTGCATTAACATAAACCCACTTGTGTGTGACTTAAATCATATGATTGATTTTTCCAACAACCCATTAGCTTTCTCCATCTTTCCTTCCTTGCAAAACCCACTTATCTTAAGCCTGTAACGTTCACATGTAATTCTTCAGACACTGAGGGTATTTTAAAAGATACAAAATTATAATAAAATTTGAGTCTTTGACTCCCTTTCTCCTCTCTCTTTACACATTTGCTATATTATATTAAAATAAAAATAATTTTCAATTTTCAATAGATCCTGGCCGTCCATCCCTATCACAATCAGTCCAGCTTTC